TGACCCCGCGTCCACTGGCCACTTGTCAAAGGTCGTCGCTGTCGTAGCTGGTGTCTTCACGATCTCCGTCTTCCCGATCATCCGGGAAAGGGCCACCCGCAGTCGTTGGTAGCTCTCGTGTACCCGCAGGCAGTATTCGGCCATACCTTCGCCGCGCCGGCGGCGGAGCTTCACGAAATACTCTTCCATGTAGTGGCCAACGTCTTCGACGGGCTGCCTCATGACCGTCTGCTGTAGATGCTCCAGCAGCTTGTCGGCACCCCACATGGACGAGAGCCAGCCTCTCGGCCGACCGATGCACGCCGTCGCTGCAGGTCCGGACAGGCGTGCCACCAACCTGGGGCCGCACAGGTACCTGTCCTCCCACTTCGTGCCGTCCACGTAGTTCATCACATTTTGTTGGTACCGCTCCCATGTCGCAGCACTACCATTCCACGTAGGAATAACCTGAGTCACATTCTCCATGGAGCAGAAACCTGCTCCGCTACCATGTGAAGCGAAGCTTCACAGGGTCAAATACACCTCTTCCTTCGAGCTGCTCTCGACGTAGCTCGATACGATCCTCTTTTCCTTGCAGCGCCGCCTGCACCGCAACAGTACTTGCCACCAGTGCTGTATCTGTGCACGGAGTGTGTGGAGAGGGAGAGGTGTGTGGTATTGGGCTCGATTGAATAGAAGGTAGGAGAAAGACGGGGGGCCTCTGATGGCCCCCGGGACCCTGCTGGCCCCGCAATGAAGGCCTGCAGCCAAATGGCTATGGATGGAGCGAACCTTAAACACGATCCAAGATCGAAAGATCGACACCCTCCCCCCCCCCCCCCCCCCCTCCCCGACACCATCCCCTCTCGACCCCGATCCTGATCCCCGCCCCCCCTCCCCCTCCCCCTCCTCCTCCTCCTCCTCCTCCTCCTCCTCCTCCTCCTCCTCCTCCTCCTCCTCCTCCTCCTCCTCCTCCCCCTCCTCCCCCTCCCCCCGTCCCTGGGCCCGGGCCCTCGCCTCGCCCCCATCCCCCCGGTGCCTCCCCTCGGCGCTGGTCCTCATTCTCCGCCCCTCGGTTCTGTCTGGTCTCCGTCCTCCCGCGCTCGGGGGCGGCCAAGGGGGGGTGGGGACCAGGGGGGGGGGGGTATCGTGGCCGTGGCCACTCAGCCACGCGCAGGGGGGTGGGGGGAGGGGGGAGGGCTTCTTAGAAGCACCCTTGCGTCTTAGAAGGCGCGGGCCTTATCTATAGATGTAACGCCGGAGCCTTCTAAGAAGCAGCCTCGTTCTCAGAAGCCTTCCCCCCTCCCTCCATCCCCTTGTGCGCGCCGCCAAGCCACGATACTTCCCTAGATCTGTAAGTGGCTGAGGGGGCGCAAACGGTCCCCATGTTAAAGACGTTATAGGGTACAGAGCAAGTTCGAGGCCAACGTTTTCTCACAAGTAAAGCTCAAAGTTGCGAGGGTCCTGAAGTCCGGAAGCAGTTTGGATAAAGTTCGGCGGCGAAGAAGTTCCACATTTTTGGAGCACGTGTGAATGTTCGTGAATTGCCGAACTGGTTTTGAATTTTCTCAGTTATTTGCTTCCGATGTTTTACCGATCTGTTTCCGAGCTTTCCCCGAACTTTGAAACCTAGTTCGAACTTGTTCGAACTATGCTACAACTTGCTCCAAACTCAGCTATCCCCCTGAACTTTCGAACTTGTTTCGAACTCTTGCTTTCATTTGTTTCCGAACTCGAACTTCAAGCTTTCTCCCCGCCCGAACCCAAGCCCTAACTTTTATTTGCTCCAGGAATGCCCATCTCTGCCCTCATCAGCCAATGACAGCGCCAGATTTCATGCCCCCGCCCTCTTCCTTCAAGAAGTCCCTCCATACCCCTTCTTCTGGGCGCATGCCCGCGGCCATGATTTGCGAACCCCCCTCTTGCACACACCCCCTCTTGGAGGCCCCCCGACTCATGTTTTTGAATCCGAAAGCGGGTTTTATAATTCACAAACGGGCTTTGAATTCAACAACCAGCTTTTCGGAATTCAAAAACCACCCTCCTCCCCCGGCGGCGCGCCCTCGCAGTGCTCCCTGGCAGTGCTCCCCCTCGCATCCCCCCCCCCCGGCCGCAGCAGGTGCGCTGCCTGGTACAGCCTCCTACGGCCGGCAGGGGGGCAGCTGCAGCTGGGCCCCCCCCAGGGAGGGTCAGCCACGCGCAGAGGGGGGTGGGGGGAGGGGGGAGGGCTTCTTAGAAGCACCCCTGCTTCGTAGCAGGGGCGGGCGCCTTCTGAGAAGCCGCCTCCTTCCAAGAAGCCCTCCCTTCCCTCCACCCCCTTGTGCGCGCCGCCAAGAGGGATGACATCCTCGCGTCGCGGATGGATCGCGCGGCAGTCTTAGCCGCCCTGACGCGCACGTGTTGAAGCGCAGCGCGCGCCGTGTTCAGCACGTCTCACGCGCGCGTTGGCCCCACGCTCCGGCGAACGCGTCGCACCAGACCGACGCGTTCAACCTGCGTGCCGAGCTCCGCGTCAGCACGCTGCGGGTTGAGCTGGATGTCTGTTCATGGGAGCCTTGGGCGGCGACACTGAAGTCAGCTTCTCCTGCACGTGGACAGCGTGGGGGCCACATTTGACCCCTCCTCCTGCTCCTCCTCTCCCCTTCTGTTCCCCCTCCCCCCCTCGTTCTCCTGGCCCCCGCGAATCCAGTCCAAGTCTGGTCCACATCCGGTCCAGATGTGTCCCAGATCCGGCCCAAATCGGGCCCCAACTTGGACCGCGCCAGGGGGCCACGCGGGCTCCCGTGGAACGGACACCACTTTTTTGTTTGTTTGTGTTGTTTGTGTTTTGTGTGTTTTCCCCCCTCAGTTTTTTGTGTTTGTTCCCACAGTGAGTGTTTTTTGTCCCACGCGTGTGTGTGTGTGTGTGTGTGCGTGCGTGCGTGCGTGCGTGCGTGCGTGCGTGCGTGTGTGCGTGTGTGTGTGTGTGTGTGTGTGCGTGTGTGTGTGTGCGTGTGTGTTTCCCACAGAATGTGTGTGTGTGTGTGTTTTTGTGTGTGTGTTTTTTTGTCCACCGTGTTTTTTTTCCACAGAGCGTTCCGCACCGGGGGCAGCCGGGGTCGGCAGGTCTTGGGCCGTGCTCGGCCCGTGGGGGGCTCCACCACGGCCCGAGGCGTCCGTGGCCGCCTTCGGCTTCCCTTGGTGGGGCCTCCGTGGGCCCCTGGGGCGGTCGGGGAGCGGCCCGTCGCGGGGCGCGCCAGGTCGCGGGGAACGGTAGGGTTATGTCGGGCGTGTCCCCCTGCAGTGGGATTGTTTGGACTATTGTTTGGCTATTGTCTGGGCTATTTTTTGGACTATTCTTTGGCTATCGTCGAAAATCCCCCTGTAGGGGGACACGCCCGACTTAACGCCAGTCGCGGGGAACGGTATAGGGGAACAAAGAGCGGCATAGACATAAGAACTCGCCGCTCGGCTGCAGGTGAGGCCCCAGTGGCGCTCCTCCACGGCCCGAGAGGCCGCCGAAGGGAGCACCCCTTCGGGCTCGAGAGGGGCTGCGGTTTTCGGGCGGCCCGAGAGGCCGCCGCAGTGAGGACCCCTTCTGTAGGGGAACAAAAAGTGGCATAAACATAAAAACTTGCAGGTCCGCGCAATTTTCTCGGATCGGCGCTGGGGCCCCCCGGCGGCGCCTCCGGCGGCGCCCCTGGCGCGCTCCGCGTGCCAGGGAGGGGGGGTCCAGCGCCGATCCGAGAAATCCGCGCGGACCTGCGAGTTTTTATGTTTATGTGATTTCTTGTTTCCCTAAACAGTCTCAGAGCCGTCGAAAGATCACGGCGTCGGAGTCCTGGAGAGTTGTTTACCAGCGGCTGCCTCGCAACCTTGGCTCGATTCGACCTCTTTCTAGCCAGTTGTTGCTACCTGAGGCAGAGGGCCTCGTCTTCGAGGATCGAAGGAGCTGCCGTGCCTTAGGAGGATGAGGATGAGGAGGAGGCGGAGGCGGAGGCTGAGGCCGAGAATGGTGAGGGTGATGATGCTGATGCTGATGCTGACGATGCTAATGATGCTAATGATGCTGCTGGTGATGCTGATGATGATGGTGGTGATGGTGGTGATGATGATGATGACGATGATGATGATCAAGCTGTTGTTGCTGATGAGGATGATCATCATCATGATGCTGATCATGATGATGTTGACGATGCTGACTACGTATGATGTTGCTGATGATGCTGATGATGGTGCTGATGATGCTGCTGCTGATGATGATGCTGATGATGATGCTGATGCCGATGATGATGATGGTGATGATGATGATGGTGATGATGGTGATGATGATGATGATGATGATGATGATGATGATGCTGATGATGATGATGGGGAGGCGGAGTTCTTGGCTCTCAACCTGGTCGGACGGGGGAGGACGAGAAGGATGAGGAGGAGGAGGAGGATGTGGAGGGAGGAGGAGGAGGACAAGGAGGAGATGGAGGAGGAGTGGCCCGCAGCAGAGCAGGAAACGGGAAGGTAAGATGTTTCTGTGGGCGCCGTGAAACGACGACTGGCCACGATGAGGAGCAGTGTTCTGTAGCCAGGGGGGTACTCCGATCCAGGCCTCGCGAACACATCACGATAGGCATTATCGCCCCGTTTCGGTTCCGAGGACCCGTATGGACTGATGGCGATCAAGATCCTGCATTAAGAGTTGGTCAAAGCTCTGCTCGTGTTTTTCACTACGCTTATTGACGACGCTGAGTATGCGGGCGAGGACGAGCATTCCGTAGCCATCCTGGTTCAAGGTCCAACCTTGAGCGCTTCAGTTTTCCGTCCAGGGGTTCCTCCTCTCCTCCTCCCTCCTCCTCCTCCCTCCTCCTCCTCCTCCCTCCTCCTCCTCCTCCTCCTCCTCCTCCTCCTCCTCCTCCTCCTCCTCCTCCTCCTCCTCCTACTCGTCCAAATCATCACCATCCCCTCAGGGCGCTGAGGCGCCAGGTCAATCGGTGCGGCAGCCTCGGGGCCCTGCGAGCCCCCTTCGGGTTTGGCGGCCAGGGCCGATGGGGCAGGGCGGCCACTCTGGTCTCGAGGGCGACCAGGCACAGGGCGCAGAGTGGTGCCGCTGCAGCGGCTCAGACTGCGCGGAGCTCGGGCTGCAGCGCGGGTGCACGGCCCTGAGGTACGCAACAGCCGGCGTGCCGGCCGACGCGCCGACTTCGCCGCCGACCGCCCTTCGCGGCCCAAGCGAAGCGGCGGAGGGCCGTGCAGGGGCGCTGCAGGGCTCCGCGCAGGGGCCCGTGCGCCTGGACCTCCGCTGCGGAGGCGAGGCGAGGGCCAGCGACGGTGAGCAGGCCTCCGCGCAGGGGCCCGTGCGCCTGGACCTCCGCCGCGGAGGCGAGGCGAGGGCCAGCGACGGTGAGCAGGCCTCCGCGCAGGGGCCCGTGCGCCTGGACCTCCGCCGCGGAGGCGAGGCGAGGGCCAGCGACGACGAGGTCGCAGCCGCCGTGGGCGGCCTGCCCCAGGGTGTGCGCTGCCTGGCCGTCGTGCTCGCTGGCTGCGGCTCCCTGACGGACGTCGGCCTCGGCCGCCTCGCCGCCGGGCTGCCCCCCGGACTGCGCTCCCTGAGCCTCGGCTGCGGGCGCTGCGGCGGCGTCACCGACGCGGGCGCGGCTGCGCTGGCGCGGGCGCTGCCGGGGGGCCTGGAGGATCGGGCCGGGCGATCAGATCGGGGAGCTTCCGGGCACAACGAAGGACCACAACCAGAGCCGAGTGGATTTGTCTGGAGGGCCCCTCGGTGGAGAACCCGCCGACCTCGACATGAACACGTCTGTTGTGGCTGTGGTCGGTTCAGTCGTCCTGGGCGCCCACTTTGACCTCAACCAGTACTAAGCTGGTTTCGGTGTTCTGACGTCTGCTGGCATTCGCATGACATCCTCGCGGGCGTGTCCTCGATGTTGTGGTCGTGTTCGCTCGCTGTCCCCGCATAATTGTGAGACTCGAGTTCGCCGGAACGCGGGTCTGCCGACGCTTTTCACGGGCCCGTACTCGAGCTGTTGTGGGACCTTTGCAGCGGAGGGCCGCGTCAGATTTTAGGCTGGATCTCGTCATGTTCTTGACGGCACCGACAGGCCGACCCGAGTCCCCCGAGCCCCAGTCTTACGGGTTCCAGGCGCAAAGCAGGCCTGTTGGATTCCGAGAGTCTCTTTTTGAAGTCTGTCTGGCTCTCTCTCTCTCTCTCACTCTCTCTCTCTCTCTCTGCGTGTGGGTGTTTCAAGGGTTCTTGAGGAGCCAAACTATGTCTTCAGGATCGCTCAATATTTCCCAGTATTCCCGGGAATGTTGAAGGAGTCGTAGTCGTTCCTGAGGGCGTCAATGGGTTGTCTCAACAAGATGTCTTCAAGTAATGGCTGCTCTAGCCAGAGTTTCTTAGCAAGACATCGGGTAGTAAGGAACATGTTCGTAATGGTTCCCTGGGTGACGGCTCTTGAGTAAGGTGTTTGTTTCCTTAGGTTTCTTGGGTTCAGGGTTTGCCGGTAATGATTATCCCAGTGAGGTCTTATTTTGAGGGCTCTGAAGTCAGGATTCTTTTTGTAAAGGTTCTTTTGCCCGGATTCTTTCGCAAAGGCTCCTGGATAATTTCCCGTTTCGTCTTGATGCTTGTAACAAGGATTTCTGGAGGAAGGATCTTTGAGTAAGGCTTATCCATTAAGGGCTCTTTAATACAGAATCATGTTGCAACGGCTGTTAGGACAATTTGTTCGCAAGGATCCCTTGCGTAAGAATTCAATTCCGAATCGAATATCCATTTGGGTAGGATCATCAATGATGCAGCGGGCAATGGGGAAGGAAATTGCGGGTTCCCTAGGCGTGGCTTCAAAAGAAAAAGGTTCATGGTATGGAGCTTTTTTTCGCAAGGATTCCAGAGTAACGAACTTGGAATGTGGAAGCCGTAGCATTGTTGTTTTTGTAGACAGTCCGGTTGTTCTTTTAATCAGGAGTCAGCAGTAAAGATGTATTTAGTGTGGGCGGCTTAGTAATATTTGTTTTTTAAGTAAGTGCTATGATGCAGGGTTTCCTCAATGGTCCCTTGTGCTAAGCGTCCTATTCATAAGGATTATGTTTGCAAGGATTCCTTATTACGTGCGTGTTTTGTAGCAATGATTTTCCATTGAGGTTTCGTTCTAGATTGTTTTGAGTAGTACGGCGTATCTTGAGCACGGGTTCGTGCGTAATGATTCCTTGCAGTGAGGATTCTTAGTAAGGTTGCCTACCGTGAGGACTCCATAGTGGAGATGCCTTCCCCAGCGTCCGATGGGCGACCCCGCTGTGAGGCGGAGCCCATACGGGTGGCAGATGTTTGGGAACGCGTTCAGGGAAACAAAAACAACACCAAAACACTCAACTGTTCTAAAGCGCTGGTGGCAGAGCACAAACAAAAATGCGCTTTCACAGATGATGCAGGGTCGCCCTTTGGACGTTCGGGTTGCCGCTGGGTTTTAGTTTGTGTTCCCATAGTTTTTGCCACCAGCGTTTTCTTGCTTGTTTCTAAAGGCGTTCCCAAACATCTGCCACCCGTGTGAGTTCCGCCTCACATCGGGGTCGCCCATCGGACGTCAGGATTGTCGTTGGAATTTGCTTTTCGGTTTCCCTGAAGGTGCTCCTAAAGTGTTTGCCACCAGCGCGTTGGATAATCTGTTGGGTGCATGTTCTCCGTTTTTCTTCCGAGGGCGTTCCCAAAGCCCTGACATTCCCGTAGGAGGAAGCGACGGACGGGACGAAGGAGGAGACGAGGGACGAGGACGAGAAGGAGACGACGGAAGAAGAGGGGGAGGAGACGAAGGCAATTGAGCAGGGCGACGAGGAGGACGGACGACGGCGAAGTGCAGCGATCGAGGCAGGAGTTGACCAGAAGGAGCGCTGCAATCCACCAGGCCTGCTCTGCGCCTGCAGCCGTCTTGCGCTCCCCCGATCGGAGGAGGGCCAGTAGAGGCAGCGCGCCTATCCTCCCTGGCGGTGTTGAGGCCCCTCGCGGGCCTCCCGGGAGGCCTCGTCGTATCCACGGCTGGGCTTCGCCTCGCAAGACAGGTCGGGACGGAGCCCGGGCAGGTCCCGGGGCCGGCTCTTCGATCTCCAGCGGTCTTCTGGCGGGGCGGGAGGGCCGCCGTGATCTCAGCTGGCCCTCCTCCGACACGATAGGGGGGCCATAATGGGCTTGTTTCCCACCATCACCACCAGAAGTCGGAGGGGGGAAGGAAGTGGAGGACGAGGAGGAGGAGGACAAAGAAGAGGAGGAGGAGGAGGACCCCCTCTCCCTCGAACGAAGGGTGTTGGAAAACAGGCCCAGGTTTAGGGTTTAGGGTTTAGGGTCTAGGGTTTAGGGTTTAGGGTTTAGGGTCTACTAGGCTTGGCCACGATTACACCTTGACCGCGAACCCACCTGCGGTGGCCGTCACTCCCACCCGCAAGCCACCCAAACATAAAGATCATCTCTCCCCTCGTTGTAACCACATCGAATCCCACGACTTTGCTACAGCTGTCATAGCACAGCTTGGGTCACCAAAAGTGGGGACCTCTATGTGCGCGTCGTCTTTTCCCGTTACTTGCCCTGGGCCTATCCCGCTACTGTGCTATATCATGGCATAGCATAGCATGGGCTCCAAAAAGTAGAGACCCCTATGTTCTTTTTTTCATTGTTACTTACCGTGGGCCTATCCCGCCACTGTGTTAGAGCATGACATATCTATTCCTGGGTCCGCAAACAGTTGGGACCCCCATGTGCGCGTTCAGCATGGGTCCCAAAAAAGTGGGGACCCCTATGTGCGCGGCAAGTTTTCCTGTTACTTGCCCTGGGCCTATCCCGCCACTATGCTATACCATGGCATATCTATTCCTGGGTCCGCAAACAGTCGGGGCCCCTATGTGCGCGTTCACCATGGGTCCCCAAAAAGTGGGGACCCCTATGTGCGAGGCGAGTTTTCCTGTTACTTGCCCTGGACCTATCCCGCCACTGTGCTATAGCATGGCATATCATAGCATGGGTTCCAAAAAGACCCAATCTTTTTGTTTCACTGTTTTTTTTCCCTGGGCCTATCCCGCCACTGTGTTATAGCATGGCATATCTATTCATGGGTCCCCAAAAAGTCGAGACCCCGATGCGCGCGTTCATTTACTGCTACTTGGCCCTAGGCCTATCCCGCCACTGCGCCATAGCATGGCATAGCACAGCACGGGTCCCCAAAAAGTGGGGACCCCGGTGCCATAACATGACATACCACAGCATGGGTCTTGTGAGTGCTGTTCTGTGCACACGTTCTGGCACAGAACGAATCTATGATGTTCGGCCTCATGCTTGGTTCAGAAGCTACCGTTTGCTCTTAACGGATCCTCGTCCTCTTCAGTTGATTCAATCTATACGCATCAATTTCGTGTGGCACTCTCGCACCTTCTATTGTTATCTGCTCTGTGTCTAGTATGCTCTTCTAAGCACATGTTATGGCAGAGAGACGGTCAAACCTATGATGTTCGGCTTCATTATGGGTTCAGCCGGAGCTATCGTGTGCTGATACCCGATCCTCGTTTTCTGCAGTTAGTTCCATAGAGCATCCTTTGCATATTAGATGTGGCACTCTCGCCCTATTGTTGTCTGCTCTGTGTCTATTATTCATTTGTGCTCTCCGCGAATGCAGACGTGTGCCTCACTGGATTTCTCTGCTATGATCCCGTCTTTGACCTCAACACCGGTTGCACTTTCGCTGGCGTTCGTATGATCTCTTTTCATCCTGATGCTCCCGTGCGGCATCCCCGCGCCGAAAGGCGGTTTGTCCGGGATCCTTGCATATGATTGATCCACACTCCGGCTGTATATGGTTCTGGTGTGGGAGGCGGGGTTCTGTGCTATAGCATGGCAAAACACAACATGGGCAAAAAAGGGAGAACCCCTATGAGCGCGACCCCTTTACTTCCTCTTGCCCTATGCCTATCCCGCCACTGTGCTACAGCATGCCATGTCACCGCATGGGTGCCCAAAAAGTGAGACCCTCATGTGCGCGTTTCCTTGTAGTCCTATTTCCTTAGGCCTATCCCGCCACGGTGTCATGACATGGCATAGCACAGCATGGATCCGACATTGCGGGGACATCTACGTGCGCGTCGCTTCCTGCCAAATTGCCCTTGGCTTGTCCCGCAACTGTGCTACAATATATCATGACCCCCATGTGCGCGTTGCCTTTTACTACTTGCGCTCTGCCTATCCCGCCACTGTGCCATACCATGAAATAGCCCATCATGGGTCCCCAAATAATAGGGACACCTATGTGCGTGCGGCCCTTTTTACCGTTACTTGCCAGATGCCTTTTCCCGCTACTGTGCTACACATTGCTATAGCACAGCACGCATTTCCAAAACGTAAGGGGCACCCGTGTGCGCGTTGTGTTTTTTTCTGTTACTTGCCCGAATATCACGCCACTGCGGCATAACATGACATAGCACCGCATGGGTCCCCAAAAAGTGGGGACCCATAGGTGTTGTCTTCTACTACTATTTGCAATAGGCCCGTCCCGCTACTGTGCTATAGCCTAAGAATTCCCCACTACGTGCGGGTCGTCTTTTCCAACATGTACCCGCGGCCTATCCCGCCACCGTGCCATAACATGACATAGCAAAGCACGGGTCCCCACAGAGTGGGGGCACCTATATGTGCGTTGCCTTTGCCCTATGCCGTTCCCGCCAACGTGCTATAGCGTGGACTGGGTTTACATAGCCAGGTCGCAACGGGACCGGGCACTTTGTATGTAATACAAAAGATTCTGCACGCATGCTCAGCAAAAGTTTTTTTTTTCAATAAATGAACGCGGAACGCAACAAGGGCCGGGCATTTTGTAATGTACAAAAGATTCTGCACGCATGCGCAGCAAATGTTATTTTTTCTGCAGTAGATGGACCGGGTTTACATAAGCGGATCGCAGCGGGGACCGGGCACTTCGTAGTGTAAAATACAAGAGATTCTGCGCGCACGCTCAGGAAATATTGTTTTTTGCACTGGATGGGGCCGGATCGCAACGGGGTCCAGGCACTTTGTAGTGTAAAATGAAGGAGATTCTGCACGCATGCTCAGGAAATGCGTTTTTTACAGGAGATGGAGCCGGGTTGCATGGTGATCGGTTTTAGGTTATTCAGGGCTTAGTAATTATAGGATTAGAAATTTAGGGTCTAGGGTTTAGGTGGTGGTGTTGGAAAACAGGCCCATCATGCCAGGGGGCTGGGACACGAGGGGGGGGCACGAAGGCTGCTGCGTGCGGCTGGTTTCGGCCCCGCCGCCTGGCGTTTTTTTTGTTCGATGCGCGGGCGACCCTCCCGGCGCCCAGAGGCGCCGGGAACAAACGGCCTACGTCAGCTGACTCACTACACCCTCCACCTTTGCCCCCCCCCCCCCACCCACCCACCTCCCTGGGAGGAGCCCCACCCCCACCTTTGCACCCCCCCACCCCCGCCGTTGCCCCCTCTCCTTCTTCCCCACACCCGGCAGGAGTTGGAGCTCGACTTCTCCGGCTGCGGCGGCATCTCCGGCCGCGTCGCCGCCGCCCTGGCGGGCGCCCTGCCGCGCTCGGCGCGCAGGGTGGTGCTCAACCTGCGGGGCTGCGCGGGGGTGCGCGGCGAGGACTTCGAGGCGTTGGCCTGCGCGTTCGAGGACGTGGTCGAGGGGCGCGAGACGTTCCTTGGGGTCGGCAGGCGTGCGGCGCTCGGAAAGGGTGCTCGCTCCGAGGCGGGAACTGATACATCACCATCGCCTGGGGGATGGATCTTCCTGGACCCCGGCAGGCGGTTCATATGGAGTGGATATTTGGTGGTCCCCAAACGTTGTGGTGAGAACACCCAGTGGTGAGTTTTGGGCGATTTGGGTAATGGTTTTCGAGCGCTGGCTGGCCCAGGAAACGCAAACCTCGTGGCGACCGCGTGTGCCCAAACCCGGTGGTGACCCAGAATTATTTTTGGGGGGAATCGGGGTCACCACCGGGTGTCTCACCACCTGGTTTGGAGACCACCAAGATATGGATATGTCGGGGCTCAAGAGACGGGGGATGAATGAAAACGGGGTCAGTCAGAGCCGGACCTTGCGGGATCCTGCAGAGCCAGGGTTGCATGGACCCGGGCTTGGGTGCAGGATCTTGCAGGATCTTGCAGGATCTTGCAAAGCCTGACTGACCTGGGTCTGCACTGACCCGGGTCAGTAGATCCCCGAATATGGATATGGATGGGGATAGGGATATGAATATGGATCTGTCATCGATATGTGTATCTATGTATGTATGTATGTATGTTTATATATAATATATACGTATGTATTCGGCTTCCCTGGGGCCAATATCTGTCCGTATCCACCGCCCCAGAACGTCGGTCCCCCAGGCGTTGGATATGGATAGATGCCCGCCTTGCCATCAATCTCTCTTTTTTCCGTCTTCAGCGCGTGGCCTCTACGAGCGTTTGGGTTGAGGCTTGTCGGGGGTGGGAGGAGGCCGACCCTTGAGGAAGGGGAAGAAAGGAGGGGTGGGCTTTTGCATGCCGTTCTCCACCGCAAACGACGCCTTTACCATCCTAATTCGAGGCGGCCCGCAGAAGGGCCAGGCCCCTCCGCCTAACGGCGCACTAGCTGAACATCAGGCTGCAGGTTGTTGGGCCTTTACGGAAGTGGGACTGGACGCTCTGTGACGTCCGGGTGCATTGTACAAGCGTTAAGTCGGGCCAATCCCTCTACAGGAGGAATATTCAAAAACATTTGAAAAAATAGTCTGGGGACGATGTGTTGATTTTTGTGTTGGCAGTTTTTGCGTATTTTTGACGATGTTTTATTTTTCGTCCAAAATTCCCTTGTAGGAGGACAGGCCCGACTTACTACAAGCGGTGTTGTACATGAGGCGTCCTTGTTGCCAAATGGTATTTGCACTTTCGGAGCTCCGCGCGGATTTCTTGGATCGGCGCTGGACCCCCCTTCTTGGCGCGCGCAGCGCGTCAGGGGCGGCGCCGAAGGCGCCGCCAGTTTGACCCAGCGCCGATCCAAGACATCCTTGCGGACCTTCGACAGTTCATGTTGGTGTCATTATTTGTTCATTGAGTGCAGGCAGTGGCGTGCAAGGGAGGGTGATCTGTTGAGATTCGGCCATGTGCTCTGGAGTGAGAGGAGGCGTGTAGTCTCCCGTGGTCAGGGCGCTGAGCGCTTGAGTGGGCGTCCGCGGTAGCCTCGAGATTGCAAACAGTTGTTAGCACCAGTGCAGAGTTCATTTCGACCCCTCCGACTCGATTCGAGCCGATTGAGATCGATTCCGATTCCGATTCGAGTCGATTTCGGATTCCGATTTGGATTTTGGTTTCTCAGCGGAGGCCTTAACAGCCTGACGGTTTTCTCCGATTCTACATTCGACTTGTCATGTCTTGGCTGCCGTTATCCGCCGATCCGATTTATTTCGATTGCCGAGCCGACTTATCGATTCGATTCTGGGCTCTCCTGCCAGTGGGCTGGGACGCAGGGGCTCATGGTCAATAAGGACAGCTGGGGCGGCCCAAAATTTGATGATGGTCGCGCGTGCAATTTTATGATTCGTGTCCGATCATGGGGTCCCCTAAGTCTGTTGTCAGGCATTATATTCTCGACTAAGGGTGTGGCTATACAGTGACCACCGTCCCAGTCAATCAGCTGCTTGAGCTTCCCGAGCTGCTTCGCATCCGATCGTCTTCATCAGTCGACTCTCGGCTTCTGTGAATCTTTCTGGTCCCTGTCGTCCACACGCCTCACCAGCCGAGAAGCAGAATTTGCGCAGGCTGAGCAGGGGCTTGCCACCGACGGCACCTGTTTCCACATGGCCTCATTGTATAACCAGGGTCCGGGCGTTCATTCGCCACCCTGCCAGGCCTAGAATGGCTGACGCCCTCCCTCCTTCCTCCTCTCCCTCCCTCCTTTCCTCCCCAACCTTCTCCGAAAACTCCCTCCTCTCCTCCTCTCCCTCCCTCCTCTCCCTCCCTCCGTGCCTCCCCCTTCTCGCCCTCCCTCCTGCTCTCCCTCCCTCCCTCCCTTCTTCTCGCCTCCTTCTCTCCTTCTGCGTGTGATCCAGGGCCTCCGCCAAGACCCGCCGGGGTTCTTGCGTCATCCCACGGCCTCGCCAGGGCAGGGCAGCAGCCTGGAGGAGCAGGCAGGCGGGCGGGCGTCGCGGCGGGCGGGCTGACGGACGGGCGGGGGAGAAAGACGACGGGGGAGGAGAGCGTGCAGGACTGAGAGGAGCAGGCCAGGACTGTGATGCTGGTGCTGTTGATCCTGATGATGATGGCACTGATGCTGGTGATGATGGTGGTGACGGCGACGGTGATGGTGACGATGACAGTGATGGCGGTGACGATGATGATGACGACGATGTTGAGGCTGATGATGGTGAAGATGACGATGACGTTGCTGATGCTGAGGGTGATGATGACGAGAATGAGGATGGTGATGATGATGATGATGATGATGATGATGATGATGATGATGATGATGATGATGGTGATGCTGCTGATGATGCTGATGCTGATGATGATTATGAGGATGACGAGGACGGCGGATGATGACGATGATGATGGGCATGGCGAGGATGCTGGTGATGGTGATTGTGGTAGTGATAGTGACATTGATGATGCTGAGGGTGACGAGGATGACGGTGACGATGCTGGTGATGGCCATGATGATGCTGCTGATGATGATGATGATGCTGATGATGCGATTGATGATGATAAAGATGCTAATAATAACGGTGATGATGCTGATGATGATGATGGTGATGATGGTGATGATGATGAGGTCGATGCAGTCGATACTGGTGACTATGATGATGCTGACGATGAAGATGACGATGCTGGTGTTGGTGATGCTAATGATGCTGATGATGATGCTGCTGTTGGTGGTGATGATGATGATGTCGATGATGATGCCGATGGTGCTGGTGGAAAGGATGAGGATAATGCTGGTGGTGATGCTGAGAATGCTGATGCTGACGATGCTGATGATGATGATGCTGCTGCTGATGATGATGACGATGATAATGATGATGCTGATGATGCTGTTGATGGTGATGATGCTGGTGCTGATGATAATTATGTCGGCGACGACGACGAAGCGAGGATGAGGAGGAAGAGGAGGAGGAGGATGAGAATGAGGACGAGTGACGAGAGACGAGGGCGAGGAGTAGCGGGATGAGCACCTGTCGCAGTGCACAGGTCTATCCTCACCTATTCGCTCTACCCCGATATCGGCCGCGGGCGAGTGCAACTTGCACCGCGGGTTAACGGAAAGGCAGTGATTGCCACAGATGGGAGGGATCGGACGGGGATGTGAGAACATCTTAGACATATTGCAGAACAGGAAGTGAGCAGTAGCAGGGACGAGCAGGCTAGAGACGGATGAGAGACACACGCCAGAACGACAATCGGGATCATAGTGAACAACTGAAGTAAGAGTCGCCTTCACCTGCTCGAGGAACTTCTGACACTGCCAGTAGTGTATAGGAGAGTCGTCCGCATCACAACCGACCTCCCGTGCGCCATGCATCCTGAATGAGGTGATCCTGCATCCAGCCAGGGTCTTCCAGTAAAGAGCGGCAAGAGCCGGGGAGCATTGCTGCATTCTCTCTCCCTGATTTGCTCCCACTGGCAAAGCGGTAAGCACTCACCAGACTCGGAGAACCAGGATCAGGAGCGGAAAAACACAGACACAACTAATCGTCGACTCCCAGGAAAATATATGAACAAATGGGAAGTGGGGGGGAATACGAAAACCCAGAAAACATGGGAACATCTGGGGAATCCTGGGAATTGTGTGTATTTGTGTGTCCCTGGGCCCCTTCACAGGACCCCACCACACTCCAAGGGCACGACCGAGCTCGTCGGGGACCAGCTCAACTTGCAGCACTTTGAAAATTCGGCCTTGGATTCTATCGGGCCGGTCCCTCTACAGAGGCAACATTCAAAAATAGTCAAAACATAGTCTGGGGACGATTTCGTTCTTTGCATGTTTTGACCATGTGTGGGCACTTTTAGAGCATGTTTAAGTCTTCCTCCAAAATCCGCCTGTAGAGGGGGACATGCCCGACCCAAGCTTTGGATCTCTGGGCGATTGCCTCTCTCAGCGGCGTCAGGCGGCGGGGCCGAGCTCCCGCAGGCAGCCGCGAGGGCCCGCGACCCAGCTCGAGGGAGAGCTCCTCCGTGCAAAAGCAGGGACCCGCGACGCCCGGGCGGACGGATAGAGAGAGCTGCCGGTGCGCCGCGGCAGTACCGGGAGATAGCAGGAGCAGATACGCTATCAGGAGCAGGAGGTTGCGAGCACGGGGTGCACGACCAGGGCGGACTCGATGGAGCACTGGCGGTTGCTGCGGGGTCAAAGATCTACGACACCACCACCACCGCCTCCCTCGCACACTCACGCTCCCAGGAGAGGGGAGAGGGAGGGGAGGGCAGAGGAGGGAGGAGGAGTGGAGGCGGTAGTGGTGGTGCATGTTCTTGGGACCCGCAGTGGTGCAGTGCGGGCACGCGAGGCCCCGCGCGACGTTGGCCAAATCCCGTGAGAGTTATCGGCCAACTCCACGGCCCGTTGCTGTCGCGCTGGGGCTCCACGATATAATCCTGCGACGCGAGGGTCACCAGCTGCCCAGCGTGCAGGGAAGTGCACGTACTGATCATCGCGAACAACGCCATCAGTCAAGAGCCCTCATTCGTGAAAACGGTGGCCATGGCGCGCCGCGCCGATGGCGGCTCTGGCCGACGCGCTCACACCAGGCACGACCTCTGCCAAGCCCAGATGGCGCGCCAGCTGCGCGGCTGCCTGGCGCACCCAAGCTTGCAACAGCGAGGCGGTCGATGCTTCGT